ATGTCCCACTAAAATCAGATAAATTAGTTTATTACAACTATTCTCAGTTTTATTGATGGTTTTAAAGCCGAAGTCTTAAACAATCTAATGGACACAACCTTACTCTTGTTTTTGTCATTTTATTCTTTTTCTAGTGAATTTTGAAACATAGTATGTAACACGAGTTCTGATTGGTCAATGCTATAAATTTCCGACCGTATAATCAGCATATACGGTCGCAATTTGAGAACCGCTTCACCGAAACTTTGAATGTATCCCTACACACGTTGTTGACAAACAAAGATGGCGACCTGTCAATCAAGCGAGAACGCTAGCTTAGATTACGGTGATTTTGTTATCGATTACGATGAAACATTTGAAAGTGGTTTGACCGATCTAAACATTCTACTTGCTGCTGAAGAAATCGACAACATTTTGGCTACATCGGCATATGAAAAGACAGGGGATGTCAACGCCGCGTCTAACGCGGAAGTGACAGCCGTCAATCATGGCGTCACCGATGTCGATAACAGTGTCCCGGCGAGGGATACCGCATCTGTGAAAACAGAGGACAAAGATCGTTTCCCTGAACTGGAGGAGTCAGATTTGGAAAATCTTTTGACCAACGCTAACAGTACCAACACGGATAGAATGACCAAGTGGGGTGTCAACACTTTCGTCGTATGTAATTCTATGTCTGTGAATAATTCAAAGCTTAGAGGATTGACTTTTCACCAGAATAAAAAATGATGATCACAACACGAAATAAAGAATTGATATCTTATCCTTTCAATAATAGCTGTACGTAATCGTCAAAATATCATGGATATGTCGAAGTAATAACAGGCGATTTATCTCAGAACAACTGTGAAACCATATCAAACGTAGTGTTTTAATTCAAATGATATAGGAAAGAAATATCGGTAATGGTGTAGGCAGTAAAATGTAATCACCAATGAAACAATTTGAAAATAAAACTAAGACTATCATATTGTTTTGGTTACAGAATGGCTACAAAAACGGGGGAGAGTTCGGTGTTTCAGTCCCTACCAACAGACAAATTAGATGTACAACTTCGACGGTTCTATGCTGAAATTAGAAATGCCAACGGAAATATGTACAGCAAAAGCACCTTCGTTGGTATCAGGGCATCATTAAACAGGCACTTGAGATCAGCACCCTACAGCCGAAATATTTCGCTCCTCGAGGACAAGGAATTCTTTAAATCTAACCAGATGTTTAAATGCATGTTAAAAAGCTCAAACGTGAGGGTCAGGACAAAACCGAGCACCATCCGGCTATCTCTGAAGGAGATTTTAAAAAATTGAGATCAAATGACACTAATGTTTTGATGTAAACAACCCGGGTCACTACAAAACAAAGTATGGTTCGATATTACTTTGAGTTTCGCACGCCGAGGCCGAGAAAATCAGCGAAACTTAAAGCCTGATTCCTTTGTATTCAAAAAAGATGATTCCGGTGTGGAATATGTGGAAATGGCCTATAACGAGGCCACGAAAAACCACCAAGGTGATGATCTACGAGATCGCGACTTTGAAAGCAAACCCCGAATGTATGCTACGATGGATGAACAATGTCCTATCTCCTCCTTACGACTTTTTCTCGAAAAACGTAATCCGGACAACGATACATTCTTTCAGAAACCCAAGGCCTAAATATCTGTATCTGATTCATGTTGGAATACAAGCAGACCAGTCGGTGTCAAAACTCTGAATGATATGATGAAAACAATCTCAACTGAGGCCAACCTTAGTCGAAGTTATACAAATCACAGTGTCAGAGCTACTACAATTACCCTACTTTCTCACGCTGGTGTCGCAAACCAGAGAAATAATGAGAATTTCTGGCCACAAAATGAGCAGAGCATCCGCAGCTATAACACTGATTCATCTGATTTTCAGAAACGTCAGTACTCTTCTATCATACACGGCAAGGGTGACAACAATGCTACTGTATCAACACACTTACACCAAGAACCACTCATCTGTGAGCTCTACCACTCTACCTTTCTTGAAGCAACTTGAAGTGCACAACTCACAAGTTAATGTGTACAATTACTTTAGTACCCCTGATCCTAAGCATGTGGCCTAATTAACAAAAGATTTAACCGAACGCTTCGACCTAGACTTCATTGTAAACATGTAGATCTAACACTGTCCAAACACGTCAATCGGAGGTTTTATGTTGTTCGATGTTCATGTTACCGTTGGAAATAAGCAATGACCTTGCATGTATTACGTTATTTGATATGTTTGAAACAAAAATAAGTTTAACTTACTTTAATAATAACGCCATGATGACACTCTAGTGAAATAACTGGATAATATTGTTGATTCTTCTTCTCCACTGCTTTTGTCTCGACGTTCGAATGGCCGATTACCACGTTGTGTGAAGGTCAAGGTTATCATGACGTCACAAATATTTGCTCTATCGCTACAAGTTTTAAAATTGTTATGTGGAGAAGAGTTACACTATAATGTATTCATCACTGTCAGATTGAGTTAGTGTGCACATAATAAACGTGTTTATCGTGATCATTTGACTTGTTATTCAATTTGTTGAAGTTTAAAAGGGAACTACTTTTCTGGCTATAGTGTAAGTTCAAGGAGTGATATGATTAACCTTTGACCTAGAGGAACTTGGACCTGGTTTAAATAATGAATTTCTTTCACGAAAAACAGCATAAAACGAGTTGAGAATGGGATAATTGAATTGTGTTTGACGAATTGGGGATGATACCGGTGGAGTTATAGCCAAATTTATCGTTATATCGGCCTCCGCTTACGCGTCGCCGATATAACTAAATTTGCGGCTATATAACCACCGGTATACGTCCCCAATTCGTCAAACACAGTACAGTTATCCCCTAAATGTGCAATGGAGATGACTTGGGACCGTCACAGCCCACGGTCAGCTGTGTCATCAATGATACATTGAATGCTTTGACATCGCCATCTATCGTGAAGCAGTTCATAAAATTCCCAGTTCATGTGCGTGGAAATACAAAGAAAACAAGCAGCGTTCATGAACATAGCAGGTTTCCAGGCGTCATTGGTGTCATTGACGGTACACAAGTACGTGTAATTGCACCGCGAGATCATGAGGCAGAATACGTGAACCGAAAACATTATCACAGCATCAACACACAGGTTGTATTCGATGCCGATTATTACATTTTGATGTGATTGCGAAGTGGCCTGGTTCTACCCATGACGCTCGCATATTAAACGAGAGTGGTTTAAAAGTGCTGTTTGAGAGGAACTACATGCCCACAAGTTGCCATCTACTCGGAGACAGTGGCTACCCCTGCAAACGCTGGTTACTAACGCCATATTTGAGACCTCTACCCGGCCCCCAGACAGATTACAACAGGTATGATATGTTTCCTTGTTTTGTTTACCTCGTGACCTATAAACGATAGATACGTGTGCTCAAAAAAAACATTATTACGAATTTGCATTCATAAAAACTACATTTTACCTACCCACAGAGAGTTCTGACGGACATGCACACATGTTCAGCTCTGTCATAAAAGGGCACGGTCTGCAACATCCCCTTTAACTTTATTGGTTAGAGTAATTTCCTTTCTTTGTGGGTTTCTACTAAAATCATGCAGGACAATCCCAGAAATAAGATCATTATTCCTTGGATATTAATCAAATTGTAACACAAGCTGTTATTACTTTACCCTGCATCATCACAAAAGTATACATAACTTCACTGCAATCCAGTTATCAATATGTATATTTTTAAATACATACCTTTACTCCCATCAAATTAAAACCAAATGATATTTTTGTAAATACACAACATCTCTGCCATCCAGTTATCAGAATTTTTTAAAAATACATCACTTCTTGACATCCAGTTAGCAAAAAGATATTTTGAAGCCAATCATCTGAAATAAATATATTTTAGAAAAAAAAAAATTCAATTGAGAAGACTTTATGCAAATAGTCCTTACCAATCTTATTTCAGTTTTACATAGTTATTTTAATGGCAAATAAAATATGATTCTAAATACATTCTGTATGTATGATATTTGTGAAAAGAAACACTTAATAGATGCAATGATTCATGAAATTGATTATATTGTAGAAAAATGACACCTGCATTTAATGAATAAATAACTTACTAAATATACAAGATGCTTATAGCTCTTAGGTAAAAAAGACTTTCCACTTTTATATCCATTGTTACATATGTCATGTATATTTGTTTTGGGAAAATATTTTATGACAAGACACTGCACAATGTAAGTTCCAACTTCTCTTTGATAATGACATATGTTCAAATTTCATGTTTCTTTTAAGGGACAGAGATATACTGTCAATAGAAAATTAAATTTTTGTTTTGATTTTATTTCAGAGCACACAAGCGCACAAGATCTGTTGTAGAAAGGGGGATTGGTCAGCTAAAGGAAGGTTTCATGTTTTGCATAGTGAAGTGAGGGTATGCCCAGAGAAAGCATGTAGGATAATCATTGCTTGTGCCATACTGCACAACCTATGCAAGCAGAGGAATCTTTATATACCTCCTGATGAAGACACTGATGATGAGGGCGATGAGGATGGGGACAGTGATGATGGTGAAGATAGTGTTGATGGTAGCCTTCCTCCACACCAAACTTCCACCGTTGATGGACAGCGATACAGACAGCACTTCACAAATGTTCATTTTCAGAGTATGTAGCAACATTTATTTAGAAAATGCATGAAAATCAGTACAAACATAATTTTTAAGGAGTAACTTCAATATCTCTACTATAACCATGTTACCCCTGTAGTAATTCAAACAATTTTGATATTGGAAAGCATGTACAGACATAGTTCTTTGCATTTACTTATCAGATTGATCTGTCTTCATCTTTTCCAATTTAAGCATTAATAATTCTTTCTGAAGCTGAAGCACATCAATCTGCAACAATGTTTTTTCCTGGAAAGTTCTTTGTCACTGATGTGCCCGTTCATTGTGCAGGGTAGAACTTGAGTGGAGAATGCTGCAGTAGCTGCACAGCTGGGCTGGGGTGAGGCTAGCACATCCAGGGGGAAGCAGGCTTCAGCTTCAACGACAGCAGCTTCCTGACTTCTGAAAAGAAATATTTAACTGTATTGCATGACAAATCTTTGAGAAGAGTTTTCTGTAAATTCAGAATGTCCTTGCATGATTTCAATGTAAACTCTAAGCGTAAATATAACAATTTGAATCCAAGTGAAATTTTATGTGTAAAATGTAATAGCAACCACGTCGAAGATGAATATCATGTGTTATTTGTGTGCAAGAACTATGGAGACCTCATGGAAATAAATATCTTCCAAACTTATGTACAGGGTATAAGGATCAACATTTTATGATAAATCTTTTAAATTCTAAGAATGAAGATGTTATTACCTCTGTAGTTCGTTTTTCTGAAAAATGTGTTTATATAATATATATTTAATACATGATAAGTATGTACATTTTGAAAATGTGTAACTGTACTATGTGTCATTTGGCCTAAATTACTGAATAAACTGTCTGTCTGTGAAAAGAAATATTTTAAATGAATGTTTGAATGTAAAATTTAAAGTGAATATTAAAAAAGTATTGTAAACCAAAAGGAAAAATTGTTAACCTGTTTGATATGTCCATGACCTGTAAAAGGGTTGAATCGAAGCTCCCCTCAATTCCACTCATGCTGACATTGGATTGGCCAAGAACATCATAAACTGCTTCAGAAACAGCACTCGGCTTGTTTGGACCAGGCCCTCCACCTGCAAACATTTCAAAATTTTGAATGCTTATGTACTTTTGATGCATTTAATAACCGATATCAAATAAAAGAAATAAAAAAATTATTAATTATTTTGCATAGATCAGTCTTTTGTTAGGTGTAGAAAACATGTGAAATGTGATCATTCTTCTAAACACTGGTTCTATACTAGTGGCTCATGTCTATTGTATCATGGTTCATATTACTCAATTATGTAGCTATCGTGTTTGAATTTACAAGATAGTGTATAATAAAACAAACTCTGAAAATAATTACAATTAATATGTTTTATTAAAATATTTTTACATTTATTTATGTTCTAGGAATATGCCCCTGTAGATTATGTTGTATAAATGAGAACACATCTCTCACGTAGAAATACAACATACATGTATGTACAAGTATCAAGCAATGTTTTTCAGTTCATACACTGGCCCATATATCAGTATAACTAACCTTATTTTAAAAACTTGTATTTAAACAAAATAGCTCTTTAATTCTCATATATATCTACAAGTGTGTGTTCACATGTACTATATATCTGTATCTAACTCTAACTTTGTGTATACTTGAAATAATTGAGGCTTGTATAGTGTGCATAAAAATTTGAAATTGAATAATATTATCATTTTCCAAGATATCTGTGATCAAAAGACTTAGAAATGTAATTACTTACCAGTGCCACTGAGCTGTCTCTTGAAAGCAGATATTTCTTGCCTTGACTTGGACTGGATGTTGTACCATCTTTTTCTCGAGTCATCGTTTGACCTAACAACGTTAGGAAATGCAGCATTGATATTGGCTGCCACCTCCCCCCATGCCTCCTTCTTCATTCTTGATGTTACTCCCGGTCCAAACTTGCCCTTGATGATTGACTTCCGCTCATCAACAAGTCGGACCAACAGCAATGACTGGTCAGATGTCCAATTTGGCTTGCGTTTCATCGAAACAATGTGTGAAGAATCCATCGCGCGAAGTTTTGATAGATGTCAGATTCACGTCTGCTTGTTTACATCATGTGACAGTCACGTGGTATAAAGTTTCGCCTCCAAACCGGAAGAGTGCTTTAAATTCTAAATATAGCACAGGGAATCCCTGGTTACGACCAATGTCAGAGTTTCCTTTTCTCTAAGAGTTACGCTCAGAGTTTACCTTTTAAGTGTAACTCTTCCTCTTAGCTAAGAGTTACGCCTCAGAGTCATTATAACTACACTTTTAAGTGTAACTGCCCTTAGCTGAGAATAATTTCTTTTAGCGACTTAAGAGTATTCTTAAGAAATTTCTGAGAATTTTATAAATACGGCCCCATTGATTAAGCATATAGGTAGATATTGCATTTAACCAGTCATAAACATTTACATGAACAGGATGGAGTGCTTATTGTGCCGATTTTATGTAATATCTGTACATCTACAGATAGTCAGTATTTCAGCAATAAATAAATGAAACATGTCAGTGTAGTTTCATGTCATTGTAGTATTATACAATCCTGTAAGGAATCTGGGGCGTAGGGTAGCCTAATGGTTAAAGGGTTGGCCTCGCCTCGCTGAAGGCGAGGTTTGATTCCCCACATGGATACAATGTGTGAAGCCCATTTTTTGTCCCCTGCTGTGATATTGCTGAAATATTGCTGAAAGCAGCGTAAAACCACACTCATTCACTCACTCACTTTTAGGGTAGGGTAGTCTAGTGGTAGAAGCATTCACTCATTAGTCATTACCCTGGAGGCCTGGGTTTGATTCCTCATGTGGGTATTAAGGCCCAATACTGGTGTCTGGCTTGGACATTGCTGGACTATTTGCTAAAAGCAGCTTAAAATTATACTCTCTCACACGAGTAGATTCGCAGTTCCTTATGCATGTGCAGACAAAATTTGAGCAGGGGTGATGGCTGTCAGGGTGTCATCACACCCCAGTGGTTCAGATCATTTCTCATGCGCTCTACCAGTGGTGTGTCTGAACCAGACAACCATGATATAGCATTAAGGATTTTTATTTGCAACTATTGTATCCCTTCTCACTTATGTTATATAGTAACTACATGATCACCTCGTGTTCACTGGTGTTGCAAGTTTACACTGATATTCCCAACATTGGGGATTGGGTTGGTTGGATTGTTGTAAATATGTCGAGGCATAGACCAGACAATCCTGTGATTAACAGCATGAGCATCGATGTAATAATTCGAAAAACTGATGACGTGTCAACCAAGTCAGCAGGTCTGAAAACCCAATCCCATTAGTCGCCTCTTGTGACACATGACCAATTCTAACCCAGATCTTCAGTTTTCCCAAAGACTTGAGACTGAAATGGAACAATGAAGTCGCAATATGCTCTAGTCACAATTTGCGGGGCTATTGCATTTAGCAAGGATGCAGCACACTGACAACCCAAACATCCAAGCTTTGAATATAGACCTGAATGTGATAGGTATTAATCTTTGAAAGGTAACTAAAAGTTTTCACCGAGATGGATCTGTCAATCTTGGAGGTGTGGTGGTGGATATTAATCTGACAACCACTTGAACCTTGTGTTTTAACATTACGCCCAAGACAGGACTTAGAATTTTGTGCTTGATTTCAAACACTGCATGATATATCATGTGGTTGCCAAGTCATACTTTATGACGACATGTACCTTGTTTATAGATGAATCCATTGCCGATCACCTGTGTCACATCCGCCTTCAACTTTAATATCACATTTTCTTTCAACATGCTCGCGAGTGTTTACGTCTCCACACTGTCATCTTTCAGGTCCGGTTGCACATATTGAAATTTTATGTTCTGAACATAAAGTGGCTGTGGTTTTATATTTCCTGATACATGTTTTTACATGTTTTGAAGTAAAATATCCTTGAAAACTTGAAAACAATCTCTTTGAATCACTCCAGTTGTGTGCATGGTAAATGAAATGTCAAATCGTCTCTCTTCTTGCTATTTGACTGGGTTTAAAAATTAAAGTCTAGTAAATTAGGTAAAAATCAAGCGTTAAGTTATAGTCAGGAAGGTCTGGTGACAGTGTGAAGTTTAACCATTATGTGGATAGCAACTCTGTAGCTGATACATTTTGCAGAATGATAAAAAAAGATAAAATGATTAAAACTTTTGAATTAGATGTTTACTGTGATGTCTCTACAAATGCTGCCCACTATATTACAGGGATACTTACACACTGTTACAACCAATCCTTATTCAACTCACCATGCTCTGTCACGATTTGGGCTTCCTTGAAATGTATGATAATTTGAAACTTCAGTACATTACAAATCCATGTCTTGATATTAGTATCACATTTAAGCCATTCTTAGTTTTGAAAATGATCTATATGTGTTTATGTTGAGCATGTTGAGGAGGTTACATCTAGTTATCTACCAGTGATGTAAATATGACTGTGCAACATGCAAGGTTGTCTGGTAATATCTTCTTAAATACTATTATGTTACATAGTGTATGTTGACCGGGTTACTAATTGATCACATCCTGATATGGGCCTGACCTAATGTAATCGTACCCATGTTCAGGATTGAACCTGGACTTTGGTCATGACAAGTTAACACTGTAGCCACTTTGCTACCCACTGCTTCATTATTGTAGCCATGGTGACAACCTGAATTGTATGGGAACTATATTGTCTTTGTCAATAATACTGCAGACTAAACAAAGGTGAGGCGTGGGTGGGTCATTGTTCAGGTATTTTGCACTGATAAGTCAACTCAAAGGCATTGTAGCTTATTGACATTTAATATCCACCAGTTGGTCACTGTAGTGTTGACTAAAAGGGTAGTGTCTGTAACTGTGTAGCTTTGGTGTTGATGTCAGTGGTCTTTGGATGTAACTTTTCACTAGTTTTATGCATTGGTGTTAATTGATGTCAGTAGATTTGGATTTAACTCTTCACCAGGTAATGACATCAACATTCGATACACTGTTTTACATTGTACCACCACTCAATTTTCGTATGGTGAGGTCAGATATTGCCATAATAGAAGTGATACAGAGAATGAGTTTAGTTTTACGCCACACTCAGCAATACTTCTGCTATATGGCGGCAGGTGTGTAAATAATCGAGTCTGGACCAGACAATCCAGTGATCAACAGTATGAGCATCGTTCTAAGTAATTGGGATACGATGACCAGAGATGCCAACCCATACGATTTTATCGTATTCGTAACGAAAAACAGCACAAAATACGTGACTACGATAGCAGTAAAAAATATATGAATTTTTAAAAATAATACATTAAATTAAATTATCAAACAGCATACATACCATGCACAATAAATTTCAATCACATTTTATTTAGTATCAAGCTCTATATGGATACTTATTACTGATTTAAGTGAGTACAATGTCAATAACAAGGTCTTAGACAATACATTGCATATTTTATTTAACATAAAATTCTTTGGAAAAGTTAATACTAATTTTTGCCAAAAAATACTAATTTTTGCATCAGTTTTTGACCAAAATACTATTTGGGCTAAATTAGGGTTGGCATCTCTGAATGACATGTGTCAACCAAGTGCGCGAGCCTGATAACTTCGATTCCGTTTCCTTAACAATAGTCAATTAATATTTTTGGTGTGTTTGATTTACTTTTCTTGAATGATAGAATGTGACACATATTAAAGTATCAAGTTCTTGTGTGTCAGACCAGTGAAGATCCAGGGTAGAATAGGTCTTCAGCAACCCATGCTTGCCACAGAAATGACTATGCTTCTTCTAAGAGACAACTAACAGGATCGGGTGGTCAGGCTCGCTGACTTAGTTGACACATGTCATCGGTTCCCAATTGCTCAGATCGATGCTCATGCTGTTGATCACTTGATTGTCTGGTCAGACTCATTATTTACAGGCCACCATATAGCTGGAATATTGCTGAGTGCGGTGTAAACCTAAATTCACTCACTCACTCATGTGTGTCCTAATATTATATACAGTCAAATCCCGATGAGTCGAATGCCGGTGTCTCGAATATTATGCATAACTCGAAGTACCCGTTCGGTCCCGACCATTCCCTGTTATAGTTGTCATCATTTGAATACCGGTTACACAAATTCGTCTCATAAATACACACGATGACTCGAGAAGGAAATTTGGTCCCATGAGATTCAAACAACAGCAATCTTGTATACATAAGCCGAATTCAGTCAATGAGAAGTTGATAGGTGTAGCAAACTGATCCAATTAACAAACAGGTGGCTCACACCTTCCGCCATTGTGGGTGAGTTCAAAGGCAGATTAGTGATTTTCACGGAAATCACTGTCTGTGCTAATCAGACTGGAACTGATAAGGTGTCCCTATTAGTGATACGGAAATCATTAGGTAAACAAATGCTTAGGTGGAGGAATTAGGACTGGATAATTATTTTTTCTACCCTCATAGACATACCTATGTCTCGAATACATCGATAAGTCGAATGTATTACTTGGTCCCCAGCGATTCGACTCATCGGGAATTGACTGTATATATCTTGACTGTGGAGACATGTATCATATTGCCACATAATGAAACATACTTGGTAACTCCACTTTGTTTGCTGTTCAACGCAATATTTCAGCTGTATGACAACAGTCTGTAGATAGTCGAGTCTGGACCACACACAATCTAGTCAGATCTCATGGGCATTGATCTATGCAATTGGGACATAATGGCGTGTATCAACCAAGTCTGCAAACCTGACTGCCTCAGATCCTGTTATTCACCTCTTCACGACAATCATGGTTAGCTGACGATAGATCAATCCTAACCCGATCTTCGTGGGTTTTGACCCTACAAAGGACCCACTGAGACTTCAGTGTGTAACATTAGCCGAGGCTTAGATCAGTTCATTTTCTCATTGGTATTAATCACTGTCATCTAAAATGTCCTGATGATTTAGTATTTTAAAGTATTTGGTAAGGACTAGGGCCGGGACAGGTCCAAATTTTCTACCCAGGTACCCCATCCCCTATTACCCTACCCTACCCTGATACCCGTTGATTCCTGACATCAAATATGTAAGAAATGGAAATATATTCTTCAGCTCGGAGGCTAAAATTTCGACTTTTTCAATATCTTAACCATGTGTTATATTCAAAACAGGTGA